CCGCCGCACGCTTTTGAGCTGACCCGGGAACGGACCGTCGCCGGCCGACCCTCCTCCCCCCCCCCCCCCCCCCCCCCCCCCCCACCCCCACCCAACCACTTCTCTCATGTACCATCTGAAGACCACCACCCGCCCCTCCGGAGTCGCCTCCGCCCTGGCCACCTCCCCCGCTGGCCTCGCCCTCCACCCGCCCGACCACACCCCTCCCTCGCTCTCGCTCCAGCTCGTCCCTCCCTCAGACCTCGTACTCGTCTTCGGCGAAAATGCCGAACACGCTGCTGCGCTCAAGACTCTCTCGCTCAACGGCTACACTGCGCTACGCAGCGACGACGACTTTGATGCTCTGCTGGCGACCACGCCGAGCCTCACCACTCTCTCGCTGGTCGGCTGCTCGGGCTTGTCTGATTCAGCGCTTGCGATCATCGCCATGCGCCTGCCCAACACCCTCACCTCGCTGGACCTCTCGCACACGACCATCCCCACGCCTGCTGGTCTCCGCGAGTTGTGTGCGGCGGTGGATGGGCTCGCCGAGCTGAAGATGGGCTTCTCGTCGGCAGATGATGAAGTTCTGAAGATCCTTGGCCAGGAGGCGGCCTCGCTGACAGCCATCGCTGTCCCGCACTGCTCCAACATCAGCGACGAGGGCGTGTTGAGTGTGACTACCCCAGACGCGGCCTGCGCCCTGGCTGCACTTGATATCTCGTCGTGCATCCTGGTCTCGCCGCCGGTGCTGGAGCATGTGGCTGCTGTCGAGGCTGCGGCTGCGAACGGCGCCGAGCGCCCCGCTTTCGCACCTGTCCCGGCTGCAGACGAGCTAGCGGCGGCGGCCTCGGCCGGCTCGTCGGCCATCGCCGAGCTTGTGGGTGTGCGGTCGACGCTGGACGAGCTCCACACCCGCTGGGCTGACCTGGCCGAGTCCACCGTCCTGCCGGAGCCGATCCAGGTGACGACGGCGCTTGCGGGCACCATGGACGCCTACCTTGATGCTGCAGAGACCAAGGCGGCGGCGTCGGAACGTGCTGCGGCGGAGGCGGCGAAGGCGGCAGCGGCAGCCCGGGCCTTTACTGATGCGCGGTCGGTTGTGGTCGCCAAGATGGAGGGCGTGTGTGACGGCGGACAGGATGCGCTCAAGACCGCCCTCGAGGAGCTTGAGGAGGCTGATGCACTCGCGGCGCGCGACAACGCGCTTGAGGCTGCTGCCGCGGCCAGCGCCGCCGCCGAGGAAGCTGCCGAAGACCGGACGGCCACACTCTCGTGTGCGGCCAGGGCTGCGCTCGCGCTTGTTGAAGGCGCCGAGGAGTATCACTCCGAGCAGGTGCGCGAGGCCTCGCTGCCGTCGCGCGACGAGTGGGTGGCGGTGCTGCGGGCCGAGGAGGCGCACGCCGACCATGTCACGAGCGTATTGGCTCCAGCGACGAGCGACGCGGTGGCGGCGCTGTCGGCGGCGGTGGCAGCCTTTGACAAGGCAGCCGCCGCGGTTGAGACGGCAGTCGATCTGCGCCGGGCGGCCAACGAGGCCGCGGTGAGCCTGGCGATGAGACTTACGCCGCAGGCCGCGGCCGAGCTCAACGTCGAGTATGCGGCGGCAGCGGCCGAGCTGCAGCGTGCCCATTTTGACACGCAGCACATTCAGGCACTGCTGGCGCTGCGCCACGAGCTGGAGGGCGCGCTCCAGACGTTACCAGAGCTCAAGGAAACCATGTACGTCCTGGACACTGAGCTTGATCAGAATGGGTTGGCCATCCGTGGGGTCAAGCGCAAGGCCCGGCGGCGTGGACGCGACAGCCCGGCCGAGTTGGCCAAGCTGGAGGCCAGGAAAGCTGAGCTAGAAGCCCAGCTTGCGGCGGTGCAGGATCAGGCGGTCGACGTGAGCTCGCTGTTTGAATCGACGGCAGCAATGGAGTACTTCCCCGATGTCGAGGCGCGCGCGCACCTCCCGTCGTACCTCGCGCGGATGGCGTCATCGATGGCGGGTCCTTCGGCGCCGGAGCTGTCTGCCGGAGCCACTGCCGACGACTACGCGCCGGTCGCAGGCGGAACTCTGAAGAAGACCGGCGTCCAGGGCGACATGCACGTGTACCGGGCAATCCACGGTCCGACAGGCACCGAGGTTGTGGTCAAGACGATGCGGACGGGTGTGGCCAAGGCGGCCAACCACGAGCTGCTGAAACAGATGCGGCGCGAGGCGGCGACGACGTCGCGGCTGGACCACCCAAGCGTGGTCAAGGTGACACGGGTGTTCGAGGGCCCGGACTCGGTCTCGATCGAGATGCCGTACTACCCGGGCGGCAACCTGCGGACTTGGGTGGCGGACAAGAACGTGTCGATCGCTGCTGGCGGCGACCGGCTGCTACTGGCAGTGTGGCGGCAGCTGTCGTCTGCACTGGCGCACGCCCACGCGGCCGGCGTCGTCCATCGCGACGTCAAGCCGGACAACGTGTTTGTGGCCGACCCGGCCGTTCCGCAGGTTGTCTTGGGCGACTTTGGTATCGCCAAGGCAGTCGAATCGACGCAGACGCTGGGTGCAACGCTGATGACGACGGTGGGCGGGTTTGGGTTTGGCACGGCATACTACGCCCCGCCCGAGTCTCGGGAGGCCGAGTGGTCCAAGCTCGAGCATCCGTACGCGGTCGACGTGTACTCGCTGGGTGTCATCTTGCTCGAGCATTTGACGGGCGCACACGTGGCACAACTGCCGCTGGGCGATCCCGAGCAGATCTCTGCGGCGCTTGATGCTGCGGTCGGCAGCCATCCTGTGCTGAGCCTGCTTGCGCCTGTGGTGGCGAGCATGGTGGCGGTGGATCCGGCGACACGGCCGACGATGGAGATGGTGAGCGCAGTGATCGAGAGTCTGGTGCCCAAGCTCGACGCGCTCGCTGCATCGCGGGCGCGGACAACGTCGCGGGTCCATGCGCTCCACGCGCAGCGGACGGCACGCCATCAGGTGCGCTCCGGAGACAGCTCGCTTGCGCCCAAGGTGTGGGATGTTGTGGACGGGAGCGATGCGGCAGCGGTACTGCAGTACGTCGGCGCGGCGGACGAGGAGACGCTGAAGGCACGCGTGACAGCGATCGGGTTTGACACGCTCGACGAGGCTGTGGCAAGCGTGTGCGAGGCGATCAAGGCCGATCCGGCTGCGTTTGGCTGCGTGGCCGGCGCCAACGGGACGCTGCTGGTGGACGATGTGGACACCGCACGGGCCCTGGGCCTGCTCATCGGTAAGTGCGTGGTGGAGGGCGTGCACGTTCCGCTGGAGTTTGCGGGCGTGGTCTACACCATGCTCGCCGGCGGCCCAGACACCGCGGCCGTCGAGCCGCGGCTGCCGTCGCGCGATCCGACGCATCACCTGGATGCGCTGCGGTGGGCGAGCTGGGCGAGCGCGTGGACGGGCGAGACGCCCGGTGCTGCGAGCGAGACGTACGAGATGCTTATTGGCGTGCGGAGAGAGGCGCTGTTCGCGCTGCACGAGGCGATGTGGCGGGTGCTGGCGATGGGCGAGCTTGCGGTCCATGCTGCGCTACTCACGCCCGACGATCTGCAGCTTGCGGTCCTTGCGCCGACCGCCATCGACCGCGACGGCCTCCTGGCGGCAGTGTCGTGGCTGGAGGGCGATGCAGCGGACCATGATGCTGCTGTGCGCGCAAAGGAGCGGTGGACGACGCTGGTGCTGTCGCTGGAAGAGGTGGCGGTGCAGCTGCTGGTGAGCGCGGTGTGGGGTGTGGCGGGCTTTGGTGGCTGCGGCTTTGAGCAGGTGACGGGCGTGTTTGGCGGCGCGGTGGCTGGATGTGAGCGCGGGCTGCTGACGCTGCCACATCTTGTGGATGACGATGCGATGTTTGGGTCGCTCGTCCTCGGCGCGCTCGGCCTCATGGCGCCTGCGACCGAGCGGTGTGTGGTGTGTGGCGACGGGTTCCGGGCTGACGAGGGCATGGCGTGCCGGGTGGCGACCGGGAGCGCTGCGCACTTTCTCTGCAGAAAGTGCTTCGGCGATCGAGTGAAGGCTTCGCTGACGCCGGACGCCATCGGGGAGTTCAAGGCGGCCGGGTGCATGATCAAGTGTCCGATGGCCGAGTGCCCGGCGGAGGTGTTCTCGCTCAACGACGTCTCGCGGTGGGCGCCCGAGAGCTTTGTCGCGTTTGTCGACCTGCGGCAGGAGGTGTTCCAAGCCAAGCTGCAGCAGGAGATGGAGGCGCGGGCGCGGGCGGAGCTGGAGGAAGCCCTCAAGGCGGATGCCTTTGATCGCGACGTGCACGCGGCGACGCTCCACATCCAGAACAACATCCTCACGCTGCGGTGCCCGCGATGCGACGCAGCCTTTGCGACTACTCGGGATGCGCAGCGCTCGGCTGCCACAGCTGCAACGCCGGCTTCTGTGCGCTGTGTCTGGCCGACTGCGGCAACGATGCACATGCGCATGTGAAGCAATGCCGGCTCAATCCGAACGGGCAGTCGTACTATGTGACCGAGGCGCAGTTCAAGGCGGTGCATCGCGGGCGGCAGCAGCAGGCAGTGACGGCGTACCTTGGTGGGCTTGATGGTGCGGTGGCGGCCAAGGTGCGCGAGATGCGGGCGCAGGACTTTGCGGATCTGGGCATTGTTGTGTAGCCGTTGCTGTGACGAGCTAATTAAAGCCTTCCTAAACTGTCTTGCACCCGATGACGTCGGTCTTTTTCGCGGCACAAGCCATCACTCGGACGATTTCGATCTCGCTCTTTCGCCATCGCCTCCTCGCAAGCATCATGTCCACATTCCGTCCAACACCATTCGCAACCATGTCCTCATCACCCACCGGCCCACCACCGCCCGCCTCTCCGGATTGATGGCTGCCTGGCCCACGGGAGCGCAGGCGATGCAAGGCCATCTCAAGCCTGGCTGATAACGCAGCACTCATTGCAGCGAGGGGGAGGGGGGCAGGGCGTATGATCTTGGGCTTGAGTTGGCAAGCGACCGGCGGCCGACGAGGGACCAGTTCGTCGCGGATGGCTGGCGGCTGACGTGTGGCGGCTGGCGAGTGGCTGGAGGTGGCGAGCGATCGGGAGCACCCCCCACGCAGCCCCAGTCGGAGCATCATGATCGGCCCGCTAGCCCAGTAAGGGGAGGGGGTGGAGGGGAGGAGGGAGGGGGGGGGAGGGGGGAGGGGAAGTGAGTCAGTGTGCTGAGGAGATCTGAGTCGACTCGTGTGTCAGCGTCATCATGATGGCAGTTGGGGAACAATGGGATGACGTGACGAAACGAGCGAGGTTGGCGATGGGACAAAACAGGGACAGCCACCCGTGAGGTACAGACGATCGTGTACGTATTGCACAGGAAACACTAGACATGGCCACAGATCCTAACCACAACAGCACCACCAACAGCAGCAGCGGCAGTGATAACCATATGACCGGAAGTAGTAGCCGATTCAACGCGGTCGACGAAGAGCTGACTCCAGAAGAGATCAAGGCGTTCTGCGGGACGCAGCCGACCGGGGCTTGGCTCCTCGGTGCGACGGTGGGCTCGATTCCGCTGCTAGCACTATCGACACGGGTGCCTGCGGTCCGATCGGCGCTGTCGAAGCCGGCACGGACGCTGTTGATTGCCGCCGGTGCATTGGCTGGCGGCTACCTGGCAGGCAACTCGGCAAAAACTCGCTGTGAGCGCAACCTGAGGGCCAAGAAGAGGCTGCATCACGCGGCGGTGGACAATTCGGATGTGCTCCCAGACATGGGCGAATCACCAGCGTCATGATAAGGGAGCAGACGGCACGGCGGGCGAGCCTGATGTCGGTAAACGCGCCGCGGATTTGGATCGCGGGGGTAACAGGGGCATCGCGGGCCCGGGAGAGCAATCGCAATGCTGGTGTGTTTTGTTTTGCCTTGCGCGTCCCAAGTGGTGGTCAAGGTCTTGCTGTAGGTGGCGGGGTGTGAGCAGGGAGCGTGGGCATCGAGTGCTGGCGCTCTGCCTCTCCGAGGCCAACGCGATCACTGGTGCCAGGAACGGCTCGCTCAAGCCGCGTGAGGTGGCAGTGGTCCACGAGAGCGGGTGGGTGGTCCTCCTCAACAACGGGCTCAACGCCATGACGACAGTCAGGAGATGATGACGGTGATGGTATCGGTGGCGTACATGACACCAGAGCAGCTGCGCGGAGCCGATGAGGAGGTTTTGAGGCTGGCATGTTCACCTTTGGCACGCTCCTCTGTTTGACGACAGCAACACTGGAGGTTGGCCGCCAGGTCCTCATCAGCAACGCTGCTAGTGCGATGGCGGGTGATTCATCCGGCGGCGTTGGTCGGTCGATCCGCTGGTGAGGCCCATGGCGCAGGAGGCCGCGGATGTGCTGGCAGCGGCGAGGATGCGGGCGCGGTGCTCAGGGGAGTAAATGCGGTGGGAGTGTGAGGGGTGTTATGGGTGGCGGCGGAGGATGATGGGGGGGCGGTTGGAGACGACAGCGAGGAGGCGGTTGGGGTCGGAGGGGTGGGGGGTGGAGAGGCCGGTGTGGTTGGCAATGATGATGCGGGTGGAGTTGTTGCGTGGGTGGGTGGAGGTGGAGCGGCGGGCGTGGAGCCAGAAGGAGGAAGGGTGGCGGGCGTGGAGGGCGTAGCCGGTGGGGGAGGGGTGCCACTCGAACGTCTCGTCAGGGTATGATTGGGAGACCAGGACCGGCAGCTGGCCATCCGCACTCGGCAGCGCAATCACACCCTCCACATCGTCGGTGTGGCCCTCTAGCACCTCACAGAATGCACTGTCCGCGGTGTACCGCATGGCGCCCGTCCCGTCGTCCGCAGCATGCCACACCCGGATCGTGTTGTCCCACGACCACGAGACCAGGACAGGCAGCTGGCCATCCGCATTCGGCAGCGCAATCACACCCCACACATCGTCGGTGTGGCCCTCTAGCACCTCACAGAATGCACTGTCCGCGGTGTACCGCATGGCGCCCGTCCCGTCGTCCGCAGGATGCCACACCCGGATCGTCCCGTCGGCCGACCACGAGACCAGGACAGGCAGCTGGCCATCCGCACTCGGCAACGCAATCACACCCCGCACACCGCTGGTGTGGCCCTCTAGCACCTCACAGAATGCACTGTCCGCGGTGTACCGCATGGCGCCCGTCCCGTCGTCCGCAGGATGCCACACCCGGATCGTCCCGTTGACCGACCACGAGACCAGGACAGGCAGCTGGCCATCCGCACTCGGCAACGCAATCACACCCCGCACACCGCTGGTATGGCCCTCCAGCACCTCACAGGAGACACTGTCCACGGTGTATCGCATGGCGCCCGTCCCGTCGTCCGCAGCATGCCACACCCGGATCGTCTTGTCTTCCGACCACGAGACCAGGACAGGCAGCTGGCCATCCGCACTCGGCAGCGCAATCACACCATGCACCCAGCTGGTGTGGCCCTCCAGCACCTCACAGGAGGCACTGTCCGCGGTGTACCGCATGGCGCCCATCTCGTCGTCCACAGGATGCCACACCCGGATCGTCCTGTCTCTCGACCACGAGACGAGGAGAGGCAGCTGGCCATCCGCACTCGGCAGCGCAATCACACCATGCACATCGCTGGTGTTGCCCTCTAGCACCTCACAGGAGGAACTGTCCGCGGTGTACCGCATGGCGCCCGTCCCGTCGTCCGCAGGATGCCACACCCGGATCGTGTTGTCTGTGTTCCGAAATCCGCCAGACCACGAAACCAGGACCGGCAGCTGGCCATCCGCACTCGGCAGCGCAATCACACCATGCACATCGCTGGTGTTGCCCTCTAGCACCTCACAGAATGCACTGTCCGCGGTGTACCGCATGGCGCCCGTCCCGTCGTCCGCAGCATGCCACACCCGGATCGTGTTGTCCCACGACCACGAGACCAGGACGGGCAGCTGGCTGTCCGCACTCGGCAGCGCAATCACACCATGCACATCGCCGGTGTCGCCCTCCAGCACCTCACAGGAGGCACTGTCCGCGGTGTACCGCATGGCGCCCGTCCCGTCGTCCGCAGGATGCCACACCCGGATCGTCCCGTCGAACGACCACGAGACCAGGACAGGCAGCTGGCCATCCGCACTCGGCAGCGCAATCACACCATTCACACCGCTGGTGTGGCCCTCCAGCACCTCACAGGACGCACTGTCCACGGTGTATCGCATGGCGCCCGTCCCGTTGTCCGCAGGATGCCACACCCGAATCGTGTTGTTGTCCCACGACCACGAGACCAGGACAGGCAGCTGGCCATCCGCACTCGGCAGCGCAATCACACCCTGCACATTGCCGGTGTGACCCTTCAGCACCTCACAGGAGGCCCTGTCCGCGGTGTACCGCATGATCCCCATCCCGTCGTCCGCAGCATGCCACACACGGATCGTGTTGTCCCACGACCACGAGACCAGGACCGGCAGCTGGCTGTCCGCACTCGGCAGCGCAATCACACCCCGCACCCTGCTGGTGTGGCCCTCCAGCATCTCACAGGCGACAGTGTCCGCAGTGTACCGCATGGCGCCCGTCCCGTCGTCCGCAGGCCACACCCGGATCGTCTTGTCCTCCGACCACGAGACCAGGACCGGCAGCTGGCCATCCGCACTCGGCAGCGCAATCACACCCTGCACATACTTGGTGTGGCCCTCCAGCACCTCACAGAATGCACTGTCCGCGGTGTACCGCATGGCGCCCATCCCGTCGTCCGCAGCATGCCACACCCGGATCGTGTCGTCGTCCGACCACGAGACCAGGACAGGCAGCTGGCCATCCGTACTCGGCAGCGCAATCACACCATTCACATCGCTGGTGTGGCCCTCCAGCACCTCCACGCGTTCACCAGTTTGCACGTCAAGTACGTCCACATTCTTCCCACATCCACCAGCAACCAGCGAGCCACCGATGTTGATGACATTGCCGGACGAGCCATCAAAGCGAAAGCGCTCAGCGCCACGATGCGCGACAGGGTCCACGGCTCTCGATGGAATGAGAGCCTTAGACGGGACATCTTCGCGCACAGCAGCAACCAGGTCCTTCACGGCGTTGGACGCGTTGTCATAGGCAAGTCGGGCAACGAGCTCGGTTTCGATGTGTGACGTACCGCTCTCAATGATCTCGCGTGAGAGCGACAGCGCACGCTCGACCTCGTCAACGTCTTTGGCTACTTCACGGCCGAGGCGCACAACACAACGCAGATCATGGAGGAGGCCACCAAGCGAGTCGTTTGCGCGGGCTTTCATCCACGGCCAGGAGAGAGCAACCGCAACGGCAGCAAGGTTCGCTCCGGCTGCAATCATGTGTGAAATACCGCGGGTGACGATCCAATCGGAGGCAGTGCCAGAGGTCATTGCCACCCTAGCGGACTCTGGCGTGGCGCCAGGCGGAGGCACCCCGGCGACAGCGGCGAGGTGACGGGCAGCAAGGGAAGGGATGTCGTCAAAGCACACCTCAAGCCGATGGCGAATGTACTCGAGGTGCAGATCGTGCATCTCGATTACGGTTATGGCGCCGCCATCCGTGGCAACGACGCGCAGCAACGACGTGTTGGCGAGGGCATCGAGGGCCCAAGCAAACTTGATATTGCTTGCGTCGATCGCGGAGCGGAAGTTGGCGACGTCGATGGGCGCGTCTGATGGAAAGACGGCGAGCATGGCGTAAATAGCCAGCGCCACCTTGCGAACACGCTCGGGGATGGCACCGCCGAGGGTCCAAGTGATGATGTCAAAGATGTGGGCGTACTTGGCGTCCGATCCGCCGCAATCATCGCGGTGCTCATCCATGGCAAGCTCAGTTGCATCTGCAGCGTCCTCAACAGCGGCGTCAAGCGCAGCCTCGCCAGAAATGGACGAGCCAAGGACGGCGAGGGCGAGGGCATGGCCACGGCAAAAGGTCGCGAGGGAGACGATGCGGGAATCGTTGAGAGCAAGGGTGATTGCCCACTCAGGTGAGCCCTTGGCGAGGTAGTTGCGAAGGACAACAGCAGCGTCGTCCGGGGCAAAGGTACCAAGCTCGATGGAGGAGGCGGAGTTGGTAGCAACAGCGGCGTTACGCGAGGTGACGAGGACGGCATGCGGGGCTGCGATGTGGTTGGTGAAGACGGAGGCCTGGCGGGTGGTCCACGCGTCGTCGAGGATGAGCAGGATGCGGGTGCCGGCGGCGGCGAGGGCCCGGGTCTTGGCAGCAAGAATGGGTTGGAGGTCATTGAGGCCAGCTTGTGCATCGATTGCGCAACCGAGGCCTTGCTTCAGGAAGTAGGACATGCGGCTGGCAATGGCGATGGGAGATGTCTTGTCCTCACCGAGAGGGAGCCAGAAGACGGAGAAGACCGAGGTGATGGCGGGGTGGATGGCGACATCGGCAGCGAGTGACGACTTGCCGACGCCACCGAGCCCGTTGACACCGACGACTGAGACGTTGTTCGCACCAAGAAGGACATTAATGACCGCATCACGAGTGTCAGGGAGCGGGTAGTACTCAGATGGGTTAGGTGGCGGCGGCATGGGCGAGGGGCGGAGGGGTGAACTGGGAACAATGGCCTGGATGCGGTCGGCAAGATCGTCGACCATGTCAACCACGCTGTCGCGAGCCGGGGAGTACGGAGCGAGGCCGCGCTCGAGGAGGGCGTAGAGAGTGCCGATGCGGGCGACTTTGAGCTCGGGCGTGAGTTCATCGTGTTCCCAGAGATCCGTGAATCGACGGTTGTTCGGGATCTGCGGCGGGAAAGCCGCCGCCATGTACGCCAGTAGAGGGTGGCTGGCATCCCGCGGGCCGTCACGCCATGCCGGCGACGAGACGGTCTCGAGCGAGAGCTCAGCGTCGGCAAAAACCGGAAAGACCTTGCAAGTCGGATCAGCGAGGGCTGCGTTGGCCTCTGCGATGGCCCACCGTGTGACGATTGAGTACTTTGAGACAACGACGACCACAACGTGTGAGTCACGGGCAAGCCGGGCGCAGTCTGCGGGATCTTGGACAATCATGGCGTCGAGCGACTTGATGTCGAGAAAGACGCGCAGACCGAGGGCAACGAGCTTGTCGCGGAGCGAGAGCATGAGCCCCTTGTCGTTGGAGCCGTGGCAGAGGAAGACATCGTATGACTTGGTGGAGGACGGCCCGGCTGGTGACGATGACGTCGCTTCGATATGCATGTTCTGGGGGACTGCGGAGGAAGGGGTGGCCGAGCTGACCCTGCTGGCGTTGGCGGTGAGCAGCGGGCGAGGGCGCTTGGCAGTACCCTGCTGCACTGGTGTGTGTGCAGGGCGCGGGGGGTCACATGTGCCCCCTGGAGCGGGGTCCATGGGCACAGTGAGAGGTGTGCGGAGTGTGCGGTGAGTGTGACGGCGAGGGCGACAGGCGGCGTTTGGGCGATTTTTCGGATATCGGGCGAGTGCCGGGGGAAGGGCCGGGGGAGAAGGTATGATTATTTCAATGAGAGTTAATTGATGGGGTTAGGCATGATTAATCGAACGAGAAATGATTGATGTGGCGATGGTGGGGTCAGCGGGGGTGCATGCAGGCAAGGAGGGTGTGCAGTTGGGCAAAAAGAAAATAGAATGCGTTACTCGGTATTCCCGTGTGGTCCCCCACCACAGTACTAACCAAGCCTCATGCTGCTTGACTTCCGAGAGCGAGACGGGATCGGGTATTTTCAGCATAGGATGAACGCATTCGATGTATTAGAGTGTGCGTGGTAGTCATGTGGTGGAGGGCGAGGGTGCAGAGCGGTCGCAGAATGGGTTCCGGCCAGGAGATGGCGATCGGGTGATTGAGGCAAGATGTGGCTGCTTCCGGCGTGTTGCGGCTGTGAGTGGGCTCTGATCTGTGAGTGGGATAGAGGTGATTGCATTGCTGAGTCTCACCTTGTTCGGTTCCTTCTCTGCGATGTGGCGAGAACCACAGCTCGCCGACGTTCACGGCCTCCGTACGTACATGCACAACTGCGCTGACAACCATCATGGACTTTGAATCTTATGCTGACCTCAGCTTTGTTGACTCGATCGAGGATGCGCTGGAGACGCTTCCGGAGAGCCCGGCCGTTACCTTCTCCAAAAGCGTCTACGGCGTTTGGCGCGGTAGCAATCAGACGGCCGACGTCGTTGTGGCTGCGGTGGCGTACAAGCGCCGCGACCTTGTGGCGATCAAGGTTGGTGGCTGCCCAAACGACAAGAACATCACTAGCAAGGCGTTGATTGCCATCGGCGGGTCGTGCACCTTGCTCAAGTTGGTGGATGCATCGAGAACCGCGGCCGTGGCCGACCAGTGGCCAGGGTGAGGGAGCGATCGGCCAGTCGTATGCAAGTTGAGATGGCGATGGAATGCGGGCATCAGCTTTGTTGAGTGCACAGTGGGGGTTCATGGCAGCCAGCTCGCCAACGAGGGATCTGCGGTCGTCCGACTCGGGGGAGGTGAGGCCCATGGGATCGGGATCGTTTGTGGTTGGCTTTTTAGCGTTGGTCTTGGGGGCGTTGGATGGGTGGCTGAGGAGGGGATTGGAGGCCGAGGCGAGGGTGAGGTGGTAGATCGGGCTGGAGAGGATGTCCAGCACACGCGTGTGTGTGTGGGCCGTGTGCTCGTTGGCTGGGAGCTGGCGCGGCATGTGTGGCTCGGGTGTGGCGATGGGAGAGGGGATGGCTGGTGTCCGACTGAGGCATGGATGTGGTGAGAGCGTGCGCGATCTGGCAACGAGTCTGTGGAGGGGTGATGGCATGTGCTCGCTGTCGTCGAGCAACCGGATGTCCCATTCGTCTGGGCGGAGCAGGGCAGGGCGTTGTTGCTTCCGCTGTTAGCTTGATGGCGAGCTGGAACCGCAGCGCGCTCTTGACGAAGAACGACGACGTTGCATCGACTGCCAGGGCGGTGATGCCCAGGCTGCCGCACGGCTGCGGTGGACGGAGCGTGGTCGGCTTGTTGTTTGCCCAGCCCATGA